GAGAAATATAATTTTGTTTATTTGATCTTACTTTACCCAAATTTTTGAAAACCCATCTACGCAAAAAAAAACATTTTTATTTAGATATTAAAAGCTTATTTTACTTTATTGACATTTTGGAACTTAGTATATTAGTTTATACCAGTAATCTTTCACCAAAATTGCACGATTTATGTTTAGCTTAAAAGTAATTAATTAGGTAATTTCAAAATTTTTTCAGTAGTTTCAGTGTTAGTGTCTTGATAAAACAAAACGGTCAAATTTCGTGAAACGTACCAAGTTTTGTAATACTGATTTCGCAGTCGTTGAAATAATCAAGTCATTAATAAAATTCCAATTAGCATTCCAATTATCTTTTGCATATTTGGTAGAAAATTACAACACGTTCTGAGAAATCAAGAAACCAGTTTTAAATAATAGTATTCGGTAAATGTAATAGATCCATTTAAAAAACACCAATAGAAAAGTTACACACTTTAGTAAACTTTAGTGAAATTCATACAAATTTATAGTTGATACCAAAAGTTAGAGTAGAAAAATTGGGCTTTGGGGATATCCTAGTTAACTTCTATAAAATAATTTTATTGTTTACCTCAGATTTCTTTGTTTTTTTTCTAACCATAATCTATTGCTTTCCTATTCAATTATTACAGATTTTTACTTTTTCTCAGAAAATTTATGAAAATTGGGTTTTGATGATATCCTAGTTAAAATTTATGAATTAATTTCAAAATCTATTCCAAGTTTCCTTGTTTTTCGAATCAATCTATTGTTGTCCTATCAATTATTCCAGATGTTTTTCCTTTCCTCCAAATCTATAAAAACTCGGTTTAAAATTCAATAAACAAAATCACTGATATAACTAATATTTGAACAAGAAATTAATTTGTTATTTGTAATTTATTGTAAGTGATATCATATTCAAATCATTTTAGTGTATTAAATTTTGATCAGTAATAAAAATTGTATAAGAAAAAAATATTATATTATACAAAATATGATATTACAAAGTCATCATAAAACAGTTATTTCCACGTACTTCTTCTGGGTTCATAAAATAATACATTTATTAATATAAAATGCAAATGTGTAGTATGTCATTGGATGAGTTACGACATAATTGTTGCAAAGAAAAATTATAATTTTAAATGTTCCAATAAAAAATGCAGTTAAACCAGTTGTAAAACAAACTTAAATGTCAAATGATAGTATTGAAATTCTAGTATTATTCTTTGAACAATAGTAATAGGAATATATATATATATATATATATATATATTAGGGTGGTCCTTAATATGGACATTTTCAAATTTTCTTGCTCCCAAGGGCTCAAATGGTTCCAAATTGATAAAAAACAATTCTCTGAAAGGTTTAGCTCTTAATGTTAACTTTTAGATAGTGCGCAATTCAATAAAATAGATATAACTTAGCGACAAATGAATTGAAATTGAAAATTCGTGTTATTTTTTATTGAAAATTCGACGCTCTACAAAATTTTTGAAAATTTTTTCATGCTATTTCCATACAAAACTTTGATTGAATTGCGATCTATCTAAAAGACAATATTAAGAGCTAAAACTTTCAGAGAATTGTTTTTCATTAATTAGGAATTATTTGAGCCCTTGCGAGCAAGGAAATTCGAAAATGTCCATATTAAGGACAATCCTAATATATATATATATATATATATATATATATATATATATATATATATATATATATACATGTATATATATATAATATATATAATGACCATCCTAATATATATATATATATATATATATATGTATATATATAGTATATATATATATATATATATATACTATATATATATATATATATATATATATATATACTACATCACTGATGACTCACAGATGATCCATATGATTTGTATGAAGTACCAACTTTAAATAGATATTTGTCAAAATTTCATTCAAGGTACCCTCCTCTCCGGTTTTTCAAAAAAATGTATTCAAGAGCCATTTCGTGTCTTGATTTACCAAACAAACTACATTTATCATAATCGCTCCAATTATAATTATTTTACCCATAACTCTTTTTATTGATGTTTTTATGATCCATCAACATTTAAGGCACTTTTTAGAAAGGTGGTCTGATTTTGGGCAAGTGCAACTTTTTATGCGCTTGTTGACCCTCGGACAAAAAATCCAGTTGTAATGACTTCATATACTTAAGACCCATAAATTAATATATTCATGTAACATTGCTCTAAATTAATATTCGATATATCGGTAAATGTCAAATAAAATGATGATGTAGAGTGCCTTGACCAAGGTCGAAACTGCAAGGCATAGTAAGTGCGGACATAATAATTATTATAAATAATATATATATGTATATATATATATATATATATATACGAGATATAATCTTTGATTCTGTATATCATATTAATTCATTTTAAATACTACTATTTATGCCATTCATATATTAACTGCATATCGTAAATAATTTCTTACGTTATTTATTTATAGGAAATAACATTGTATAATTGCTCCATTAAAATGCAAAATTTGAACTTAAGAAATCAATACCAATTAGTTTATATTCATTTAATTCATCATTTTTTGTATGAGTTTTCCTGGTTTCAGCTTGTGAGTGATAATATACATTAGTAGTATGCGTTCATACGTTTTCATTATTTTCAACGAATTTCTCTCTAATATCTTTTTAGAATAAATAATAGGGTAGAGTGGGGCACAACGGTCCAATCCGACTTCGAGCAATTTTACTGTCAAAACCAAATAAATTTCCATATAATTCATCATGTCAAAACCAAATCAGTAAAACTCCCATATAATTCATCATTGCAAAAGTGATTTGTTTTTTGCTTTTTTTCAAAAATTAGTCACCTGGTCCTTTTTACCCCACAAGCAGGACGCCTAGGAGGCAAACAGGTTTAATATCTCATTTTTAAATATAAAGGAAAATGAACAAAAGCTTCATAAAATAACCCATACAAAATATGAATTTCATTGGTACATTTTTTACAACACTGTATATAACCTAGATCTGGTACTTCATCAGAAATATTCTTTACTAGAGTTGGAATAACTATTAGTTTAATTTATTTCTTGTAAAATTACTGCTTTTAACTAAATTTACATTTTTATTCAATATTTTTCATCATTTACCCCCTTGCCAGGGTAAAGGTTTAGTTGGATTTTTTTAACTCACCCACACATGTAAGCTTTTATAGAGATTATATTAAAAAAAACTGTTGAACTTAACTTAAAATTAACAATATATATTATAAAAAATTAAATAATGTATACTTAAAAATTTTATTGCAGTCTCGTAAACTAAACAACAGTGCTCATAACCAAAAAAACTTACAACTAAAGAAAGTACTTTTGTTATGGATTTTCAAACATTGCCGGTAAGCTCCTGATAGCAACATTGTAAGAATCAACATGAAGGCTGATTGTACATCTTTATTCCTCTACTTTCAAATATTGTTGTTAAAAACTCTTAACTTTACTTAGTTTTGATATACCGGTGGTGAACCTTTTTACACGCGGACCTTTAAACCCCGCTTTACCCTATGTATATAATTTTATGCTTATTACATAAATATATATGCATATATAGATGTGTCGTGGTTTGTTTTTACAAATCCTATTATAGAAGGTAAACCCAACGGTTTAACCTTTCAAATAATGGATTTATCAATGTTGTTAACGTCTAAAGCACAACCCTGTTCTAAGCAAATCCTACAAATATATTTTAATACCTGCCATACAGGATAAGCATCATAAACAATTTTTTTTATTACATCTTATATTTTTCCTTCATTGTAATGCATCCTGTCTATAAAACCTTCCCTAATCATTATTCCTTTTTTCCAAGAAATTTGAATTCCTTAAACTCCTCAACCCAACTATATCACAGGCAATATTTGATTGGCCAAATATGTAATGGGAAGTGGGAAGAAATCCAAATGGACCATTAAAAAAATAATATAAAAATTATCAAATCTTTGTAAACTATACTACTATATACTATATACTATTTAATACCTTCCTTACAGGATAAGCATTATACAACCTAATCCATCTTATATTTTTCCTTCATTGTAATGTATCTTATCTATAAACCCTTCCCTAATCATTAAACCTTTTTTCCAAGAAATTAGAATTCCTTGAACTCCTCAACCCATCTATATTACAAGCAATATTTGATTGGCCACATATGTATTGGGAAGTGGGAAGAAATCCAAACGGACCATCAAAAAATGATATAAAAATTATCCAATCTTTGTAAAATAGTATTAACAAAAATTTCAACTATGTGACATCAGTCTTAAATCAACGACTAACAAATCAGCATCTGTATAAACTCAACGAACAAACAAATAATGTATTTCTAATATACAACCAAAACTATCTGTCATCTATGTCTAATCTGTCATCCAATATCTAATTATATCTGGTCCTTCGACGGTATTTCATTTCTCTAATGAAGGTTCATTTCTAAATGCTAATTACAATGACAAACCGATCATGTCATATATGAAGTATGACTTTAATTACATTTTTGTTTTTAAATATTATACATATTTTTAATGCAATTATAAATATATAATTTATAATTTATCATTATATAAATGTGTATAATGGTTGACACTAATAAATGTGTGCATCACGAGTGTTACCATATTACTAATAAACATTATTCAAAATTGTTATATGATGTATTTATTTTTACTTAAATGCCACCTTGTACAGTAGCAAATAAGTTTTACTCCAATCGCGTGTGAACCTTACGCGAACTCTTTTTTTTAAATATAATTATATTTATATTAGGTTGTCAAATATCTCCCTTCCGCTTTTTTGCTCTTGGTTTATAATACAAAAAGGCGGAAGGGAGATATTTGACAACCTTATATTATCAGATTTTCAAATATCTTTTTTTTTTCAAATATAATTAATTTTGTATCATCAATCATCTAATATATATTTTCCTTTACCCTCCAGCCCTGTGCCAGGAGAACTTCGACTGCCCGGACGACTACGGTTTCTACCCGCACAGGTCGTCCTGCGACCGTTACTGGAAGTGCGACGCCGGAAGGGCGGAACTCAAGACCTGCGGAAACGGTTTGGCGTTCGACGCATCCGACAGCAAATTCTTGACAGAAAACTGCGATTACTTGCACAACGTTGATTGCGGAGACAGGAACGAATTGGGTAAGTGAAAAAGATCGGTGGATATGTGGTCCCGAAATCGTCGACGAAAATTTGTAGCCGAACACACATATACAGTCAACCCTCGGGTAAAGCGGCAAGTGCGTACTATGCAGTATGGGGACCGTGCTATAAAAAACTCGTATTTAACATACAATTCAGGCTAATTCGTAGTGCGTTCTATGGAAACGCATATAGTGCAGTATGGGAACCGCGCTATGAGAGTCTCAGCGTTAGTACAAATCGCACCATTTTTATCGTGCTGTATGGAGACCAAGAAATACAACTTGAAGTAATAGGAAGTCCGTGTAGTCGGAGGGATGTCGGATTTTTAGCTCCGCGAAGTATGGAAACCGTGTACTCAGAAAGCCGTGTTAACTGAGGGTTGACTGTACATCAATTTTTTATAAGATTTGCCAAAATGTTCATTAACCTCTAAAACGTAAAGATATATAAAAATTTTCATTTTCGATTTTTTGCGGTTACTATAATTTGCCCTACGGAAAGTTAATTATCGTTTAATATAAAACAAAAAATATCTTTGGGCTTTAAACATTTTAAATCGCAGCACTTTGCAAGTAATAGCGTAAATAAAAGCCAAACCGAGAAATTTTACAATTTACAAAAGAAGAATTTATGAAAGATCGTATTTAATCATTTTCAATAATAGAACAATTAATAGAAGGAATGATCTAAATGCTCAAAATTAGTTCCATACATGTTAGAATCTCGATAAAAATAATTTATAAAAGAATACTCTTGAATATGTCATTAATCCCAATGCATTTTCTTCTATTTAATTTCTACTAATTCATGTATTATTTCTTGTACCTGTTTTTAAAATTTATATCCATATACAATAGTTTCAAATTTAGTTTCATTCTTAATAGTTTACTAAACAGATTCATATTTTTATTGATTATTATTCCCAACATCTTCAATTTTTTATGTTCTACCTTCAATGATTTCAGTTAGTGTAGAATATTTTTATTTCTATTCTATTAAACTTTGTACATTGATTTTTGTAATGTTTTTGATTTTTTCTAATTTTCCATAAAATTATGTTCATAGTCTCCTTCCTCATTTTCCACTAGTTAGATTTAAATTATTTTCATAAACTTAAGTTTATAAAATAATTATTTTATCTCAATCATTTTCACAATTTTGCTTCAAGAGTTATTTCTAACACTTTTCTAATTTATAGCATTTTTGATTTTTATAAACTTGAAACGTTGATTGTAAATGTTTAGTATACTAAAAAAAATTATTAAAGTAAACAACAAATTAAATTATCAATTATTAGTTTAACCGTGTTTTATTTCATTATTAAGGATATAATCCCTGGTTAAATTTAATGAAACCGTCTTGGAGCCTCGATAAATTATTAAAAAACTAATTACCATTATTAGTTGTCATTTAAAGGTATGTCCCAATTTCGCAATAAAAAATTTGCAATTAAGCCATCGCAAATTCTTGACATCTTTACATTGGATGTTATCTAAGAATAATATACTAGCATGAAGATTGAATTGTTTTTCTTGAATGACAATGAAAATAAAACATCATTAGTTTGATTGATTTCACACTATAACCTAGTTAAGCAGCTATTTTAATTCACGTATAATAGGTAACATCGATGTTAGAAGGATATTGAACACTATAAATTCTGAATAAAATTCTTTATAGACACATTGAGATTTTGTTCCATTCAAGTGGACGAAAAAAGTTTTTCAGACATTTAAAATATAGATTTCATATGCTACGATAATATTGTATTTATTCCTTATAATGTATATTTCAACAGCCTTCATTGCATTTCTTAATGTTTCTTCCCAATTCTTCCAAAACATATTTTAATATATATCAATCCTAAATAATTTCTTTCATTTTTAATACTTTGTCCAAAATATACCAACTTTAATTTCTAATAATGTTCATTTCATTTCAACAGCCTTCATTTCCTAATGTTTCTTCCCAATTCTTCCTAAACATATTTTAATCAATCCTAAATAATCTTTTTCATTTTTAATATTTTGTCCAAAATATTCCACCTTTATTTTCTAACAACGTTCTTAATTTTTTCCAGTTTCACTTTGCAATAGTAATTTCTATTTTTTTCCATTTTTATGTCATTTCTTCTTTTTTTTTCAAAAATCCTATCTTGATTTTTTTCTGGTACTCATTATACATCTTTATTAATACTTCTTTAACACTTCGAGAATAATTGAAATACTTTCTTTTTAAGTTTTGTAAGACCAATAAGATACTCGATATTGTTGTTATAAAAATATAAATATCCAACTTCCCAAAAAATTACCGGATTTTTTCATATTTCTTGTCACCTTTATGATAAGGGATAAAACTACTATGTGCCATAGATTAAATAATTAAATTTTAAAATTATAGTATATGAATTAATTATTTTATATACTACACTAGCTGTACCCGTTCACGTTTTGCCGTGACTTAGTTTAAATTAAGAAGTTGAACAAAGATGTGTATTTGTTACATTTAGTATAACGTTACTACTATCTGTTCAACAATTCACCTATTCATCAATTTGTCTACGAATTTACCTATAAACTTGTTAATCAATCTACCATTTTACCAACTTACGAATTTACCTGTAAACCTATTTACCTATTAACCCGTTTCACATGCCTACCAATTTACCTGTCAACCTGTTTATCCGTCTTGTTATTTGTCTATCTACCAGATATCCTGTCTACCATTTTACATATTCTCCAATTTACCTGACCACCATCTATCCAACAAATTACCTTCACCAATTTACTTGTCTACCAATTCACCTGTCTATCAATTTACATGTCAACCTGTTTATCCGTCTTATTTGTCTATCTACCAGATATCCTGTCTACCATTTTACATATTCTCCAATTTACCTGACCACCATCTATCCAACAAATTACCTTCACCAATTTACTTGTCTACCAATTCACCTGTCTACCAATTTACCTGTCAACCTGTTTATCCGTCTTGTTATTTGTCTATCTACCAGATATCTTGTCTACCATTTTACATATTCTCTAATTTACCTGACCACCAGCTATCCAACAAATTACCTTTTCACCAATTTACTTGTCTACCAATTCACCTGTCTATCAATTTAGCTGTCAACCTGCTTATCCGTCTTGTTATTTGTCTATCTACCACATATCCTATCTACCATTTTACATATTCTCCAATTTACCTTACCACCAGCTATCCAACAAATTACCTTTTCACCAATTTACTTGTCTACCAATTCACCTTTCTATCAATTTACCTGTCTACCAATTTACCTATCGACCAGTTTATCAATACACCATTTTAACTATCAACCAATTTACCTGCTTTCCAATTCACCTGTCATCCCGTTCTAAATGTCTACTTTCCAATTAACCTGTTCAATGATTTACCTGTTGAAAAATTAACCTCTTTAACAATTTGTCTACTAGTTCACCTATCAACCTGTTTATCAATTTATAATCCTCAACGACAATGATAATGATCAAATTACTTATTTTTCTAGAACCCCCAATCAGCACCCCCCACTGCGCCCGTTTGTACGGTATCTTCGCCGATGAGCAGAAATGCGACGTCTTCTGGAACTGCTGGAACGGCGAGGCCTCCAGGTACCAATGTTCCCCCGGATTAGCCTACGACAGAGAAGCCCGCGTGTGCATGTGGGCCGACCAAGTGCCAGAATGCAAGGTCGAAGGTGAGTCGGTAGATAATTAGATAATTAATAGATTCTAACACATACCAATTAACAACATCTAATTCCTTAATCTATTTTTCCAGAGGTAGCAAACGGTTTCAGCTGTCCCTCAACTGATGTATCCCCAGCCGTCGGATCATTCTCAAGACATGCCCACCCCGAAGATTGCCGCAAATACTACATCTGCCTCGAAGGAGTCGCCCGTGAATACGGATGCCCCATTGGAACCGTCTTCAAGATCGGAGACACCGAAGGAAACGGAAACTGCGAAGACCCCGAAGATGTTCCCGGATGGTAAGGGATAAATGAATCTTATACGGATTATTTTGTCTTAATTAAGTTAGGCTTTTCTTTATCTGGTAAATCATCAACCGCACGATCATATCTACAAAATTTGTCACAACCGTACCCAACACACACTTCTGGAGACAACTCATCATTAAGACTGAGCTAAATTATCTAAGTAAAAACTAATTGCTGGTAAATAACTGCTAATGTTCAAATTACAGCAAAATAACAAACAAAATGATCTATCTGTGTACAATTACCAGTTATTACTAAAAAAGAAATCGAACAAAAGATCTTATTTTTATCTTTTTAAAAGCAATGCAATCTATAGATCAAGTTAATGTAAGGCACAAAACTTGTTCGTACTGACATACTTCATCTTTCTCCCTTTGGACCCTATGTCAAATCAGTATAATTTAGCTATTATGACGACTATCGTTCCCTGGCACAAACGTACCCAGTCTCCCCTACAATGAATTGAATATCTAAGACACTCATTCTAATGATTGTGTCCAATTAACATCAAAAATTAAAAAAGTTGGTGCTAATGTTTTTAATTAGAAGTTCTTAAGCGTTTTATTAATATAATGACCAAGTTTTATTATTAATATGACCAAGTCAAATATTTTAATAATTATTTTTATAGTTAATAACAGGATAAAGGTTTCAACTTTCCTTGAATAGCAAAGACACAGATGTTAACTATAACCTATTAAATATTGTCAGTGATTTATAGAGAAAGAAACTGAATATTTTTACACTGCCGCACCCCTTAGCTATTCTAAATACCATTCGTGCGCAAGAAATGTGCAGTTAAATTTTATTTATCAAGAAATAATTATTTAAATAAGAGAATAAATTAATCTATCTATAATATACAAATGAATCGCGAAATGTGTTGGTATGCGCATAACTCAACAACGCCTGCACCAATTTGGCCAATTATTTTTTCAAAATGTTCTTTGAAGTCCAAGGATGGTTCTTACGGCAAAGAAAAATCGAATAATTGCCGAGAAAACCCTAAAAACAGCCCTTTTCTCCTTCACATACAAACGTTAGTATTTTCATATTTTTGACATCGGATACGGAATATTTACTCAAGTCAATGGAGCGTTTTGGGTCTGAATTTTTTTTACTGTGCTCCAATTCGTATGAAATTTTGAAATCAGGTTTATCTTACTCTCAAGTTCAAAAGTGAAAATAATTTAGACTCTTTTGCCATTTCCGGAGGGATGACATCCCTGTCAGTGGTGTAATTTCTTTTTTTTTAAATAACGTCGGATATCGATAAAAGAACTAATTATAAGAAAAAAATGTTTTACAATGATTTTCAAAAAAGCAAATACTCATCATTTTATTTAAAGCAGTTGTACATTTAAGATTCATATGGGTGGATGTATATACATTTCGGTATAGACTGTAGTGTAAAAAAACATAATAATTTTTAACTAATTGGTGAATATCAGTATAGGTTATTAAAAAATTGGAACTTTTGAATTGTAAACATAAGTACAGGACAACGTCTGTCGGGTCATCTAGTAAATTATAAAAATTAAAATACGAATTGTATACTTTTATCGTCATATTATTAATTTTGTATTTCATTCATTTAACAATAAAATTTTTGCTTTCAGTGAGGACTACTACGGAGACCTCGACCTGAAGAGCATCCGCAAAAGTGAATTGTTAGCCGGTCTCCACAACTCCGGAACCACGAAGCAAAAAGCAAGGCCACAAAACAACAAACAAGAATCTTAAACGATTTACAATATAAAATAAGAGTATCTGTAGCTAGTTCCATTTAGACTTAAAATTTAAATTTAAAAAAATATTTGTAAAAATATAAAATGATTTCGATAGAATGATATTTGAGACAAAAACCATACTTCTTCAAAATTTGAAAAATCAAATAAAAATATATAAGAAGTTTCATTCTGAACTTGAAATAGACTTTTCTATAATCATTTTTTATTGAAATTAGTCGAAAAATCTACACCTTGTATAATTAAAAATTAATTGATAAGTTAGACCGTAAATACATAGTTTTGCAGGTATTTATAATAAATATTTATACAAACAAACTCTTTCATGCTAATAAGTATTCCACAAGCAGACAAAGTATCTTTAAATAAGCAATTTGGAGTAAGAATATTTATAGATCAGAAATGGTGATCTTCTAAAAACACTCTCTACAAAGACTAAGTTTTATTTTATAAGTTAACAATAAATACTCTTTACAATTCTACTTGCCAAACATTGTAAACGACTAGTAGAATCACCAAGTTTGACTATAAATAGTTTTACGAAGATTAATTTCTGTACTGAAAAAAATGTTCTTCTGATATTAATTGTTTAGATGATATGAAATATATTCAAAAATCAATAATAAGCAGAATTAGATTAAATAAATAGATAATAAAGAAAATAATTGTCAAAAAAAAACTGTAAAATGACGATTGTGAAGAAATAAAGAACTTTCTATAATTATGTTTTTAATTCCATATTAAAGTCCTGAAATTCCGTCAATTCATTAAAATTTGCAATGTAAGATAAGTTTAAGATGAATGTTGAATTAAAAATTAAGCTTCCATTTATTAAATAAACGTGATCATTAGATTAGGCAATTTATACTAATCATTAAATTCATAAAACTACGAATTATTTAATACAACTGTTATCAAATTAATTGAAATACTAAACATTAAAATCAATATTAAAAATTTATTCTTGTCTTATATTGTTCTATAAAAACAGAACTCAATAAAACTTGAAAATACCTCTGAATAAAACTAAAGTTATTTCTATTAAGCAAAATAGAGTTTCGACAAACAATTGTAGTTTTCAAATGTAAAATAATTAAACAGTATTTAAAATCTTGATGAAAGACTCATATTGATATCCATTACATGAAATATTTAATATATATAGCAAATCAAGACTATATTTGGCAACATATTTGTAAAGATACTTCTATAGATCTCTTGCCATTTTTTTATCGAACTTTGTAATTTCATTAGTTCATGAAGGATTTATCTCTTTTGACTGATTTTTCCTATTTGTTCCTTCAGATTGTCAATTCACTGTACAGGATTTAAGGCTTTAACAAACAATCTTTTTATATTTATAAACACATGTCAGATGTAGTTGTGCTTTAAAAGTAGGTAGAACCTTATCGAGTCTTAAAATTTGTAAAGCACTTTCAACTGAAATTTTCTGTCCTAAGTTCTTTCAACCTTGGTTTATAGTAATTTTCGAATTCACAGGCTTACAAGCATCTTTAGATCTGCATTTCGATGCAAATCCTTGTTATTTGAAGTGATATGTACTAATTGATGATTAGATATTAAATGAATACTCTCTGATACTAGCAAGAACAATTTAATGCTCCATTTGTAAAAGAAAAATAATTATATCGCATTTAATATGTCATCTATTTTATAGTCATAGTAGTCATTTAATCATTCCTTGAATAATATTCAAGACCATAAGCAATTATACAGCACCGATTTGTATAGAATAAATGATTTTATTGTGCATATACTTTATCACTATTTGTCATATGTAAAAATATATCCAAAGAGAAGATATTTAAATATATTACTTTTTACAGCCCATAATTTAAATAATTAACATATATTATATTCTTATCACCTTACACTACTTGCACCATATCGAATTTCTCTTTCAAATTGTTCAGCCTTCAAAGTGCCATCGATACTATGGCAACCTTTATTAAAAACACTATATGCACTTACTTCCCCAGCCTTCTTCGGGGTTGTACGAGTATTCAAATAAATTCCTATTAAAGCAGATATTAGCAAATAGACTACACCAAATCCAAACTTAATCGCAATTACATATACCGTAGCCCAACACATAAAGGATAGAAAATAGAAGACATAATTTAATTTTGAATCCTTCAAATCAGTTTCTTCTGAACGATCAGTATCGATTTGGGATGTACTGATACTCTCATTTAGAGAACTGTCTGTTTCGTCATCAATGTCGCTAACCTATAAATATAACTTTTTGTTAAAAAGAATACAGAGATTCTTTAGCAAATTATTTGTAAGAAGTGATAAAATTAAACCTTTTCTGGTATATCAATCAAAACTTTTTTCTCGGCAGAGTCTGATGTATTCCTTGTAAACATATTGAAAAATTTACTTTTCAAATTGGAAATTGTTTCTTCGCGTTTTCTGCGACGCTTATATGCTGCCAATTTTTCTTCCATGTGTAAAACTCTTAAATCATTTAACGAAAATCCTATGATACTGTGTTTGTTAATAAATATAAAATATATTTTTCATATATCAAGTTCAAATAAAACACGACGAAACGTCACTTTCCATTTGACAGTTATGACAGTTTTGACAGCTACTTCACATTGGTCACATGGAAGTGACAATTGTTAGGGTGCATTCACACAATATATATATTTTAAATTCGAAGAGCAATGAGCTTTTTTTTAATTTGATTTCCGATAAGAATTCAGAAATTGAAATTGCTCGAAAAAGAAAATAATACTGTGTATAATTTGAAATCATTTCAGTACAGCACTTTTAGCAGTTTGGTTATGTTTTAACTAACCACCACGTACGAGAAATAATTTAATAGGTACATATGTGTAGAAGTGGGTTGAATCATTAATATTTTTGTTAATAATGATTCATTATTCCTAATTCTTCATTAATATTATTTCATTTCATTAAACTTTTCTTCATTTTTTCTATTTCTGCCCTAGACAGAAAAATCGTGGTATAAATGACTTATCCTTATCTTTGCGAAATATCTTAAAAAATAAAAATCATTTTTTATCTTGGTGTTCCAATTTTCATTTACTTCCTAAATTGTTTAAATATTTACTACATGCTAATTATTTTTTAAATGGCCATGATTTGACCATTTTTCAAATGGTTTTGCTGGACAAGTGATGAAAAAAGTTCATTATTAGTAAATTGATAGAAAAAAATATTGATTTTTTTTCTTTTTCCACAGTTTTGAAGTTTAACTATTTAAAAATACGTGTACGAGAGGATTTTTGGAGATGCAGCAGTTTGACCATGATAACTTCTGTTTCCTTCTATTTGAGAAACTCTGAACGTTTTT